CCTGGCTTTACGTGGGGGGGGCCCGCCCAGCCTGCCCCTTCCCCCGCATCTGCTGCCAGCAAGTGGAGGGAGGGGGCCACGGCACAGCCCTCCCAGAGTGGTGTCAGCCTTCCTGCTGCCTGGCACCTCCTGACTTGGGCAGGTGTGTGCATGCATGCGTGCCTGTGGCCCCGTGTGCACCCCACACATACACATCACGGGTGCATTCACTGCAGCGGCTCAGGAGTCAGCATCCCAGAGGTGCCAAGCCTAGCCCTGTGGTCACCGACCAACAGATCTGAATGTACCAGTTGACTCGGAGAGGGGGGCTGGACAGGTGTGGCCAGGAGGCTAACAAGTGCCAGCACTTCAGCTGCTCTTCCCCACACTGGCGGGCTGCTCCTGCCCTCTGCCTTTGCCCTCTCCTCCCCCCAGTCTCCTGCTTGCTGGGCTCACTCCAAATCCCTTCATCTAAGACCAGAGCCTGTACCCTAACCCACTGTCCCTTCAGTGAGGGAGGATGGGGGAGAGAGGGATGTTGGAGTGAGCGGGGCGGGGCCTCAGAGAAGGGGCGGGGCAAGGGTATTTGGGTTGAGGTAGATCCTGAATTGATTTCAATTCAAAGAGAGGAATTCTGTGCTTAGAGAGGCTGGAGCCCACTGGTCTCCCTGCTTCCAGCACCTTGGGACTTCCGATGAGAATTTCCCAAGCCCTGGGACGCTCAAGGCAGGGGGTAGCAGAGACGGACAAGCGTCCCCGTCCTGCGTGTCTTGGCGCATGGAGGAATAAACGCAGGAGGGCTGAGCCTCAGCTTGGACCTGCTCCCAGTTAGCTTCCGAACGCTTACTTCTCCTAGCCGCCTCGGTGTCCCGATTAGCCTTGGAAACCCCTTGCTGGATCTCCTCCCACCAGAGAGCTGCTCCGTCATCTCGGGTCACCTACGGAACAGGAGGCAAAGAGGATAAGCAGTGGAACCTCTACTCGCGCCACAAACCGCACCGAGGCAGAGATGCAGCCACCTCTGGGGAAGGGGGAGTGGATAGAAGCAGCATAGAACAGAGTGGGAGAAATTGGGCTTAAAGGCTGCTAAGGGCTTTTCTGGAAAGTGCAGCGGGCCCTTCTGGAGTGAGTTGCCCTGGGTTAGAATCCCAAAGCCACGGTGCAAGAGGCCACTGCTAAGCCTGTAAATCCATAAATTGACCTTGGAACAGATTGGGGGGGAGGGGGAAGGGACACAACACAGAGACTATTAAAGACATCAGTGACTGGATCGGTTTCTGCCACACACTGGTTTTAATGTGGAAAAGCTGTCGCTTGAGGTACCCCACAGCCCAGCAGGCTGCTGCTCTCCATACACATTGAACCTCTCTGGTCCGGCAACATCTGTAGTCCGGCATGATTTTAGTTAGCCGGTTGTCCATTTGTCATGGGTGTAGCCAAGTTTCCCGGAGTCCCATAAGTTTGTTTATAGCATCCCAACCCTGGCTCCCAGCATTGTGTGCTATTATTTAGCTCTAATTGATGCCTAAATGTCTTCTCAGAGCCCAGTAACCCGTGGAAGGGTTGGTGATGCTGCTAGACAATATTGACCTCCCGTGGTCCGGCAAATTCTCTGGTTCAGCACCGGTCCGATCCCAACGGAGCCGGACTAGAGAGGTTCAACCCATAGCACAAAGGCGACTGTCCTACCTGGGCTTTCTGCTTTAGTGCGGCGCTCAGCACGTCATGGTAACGCCTCGCTCCCGGGAGTGTCACGGCCGAGAGCCCGGCAGAGGGCAGCAGCAGAGCAGTCAGCGTTTTCTCCGGGTCGTTCTGCGCTAGCGCCTCGTTGATCAATCTGATGGCGAGGACCTCTGTGCCGGGGAGATGGAGAGAGAGCAAAGACAGGCCGTGAGTCCGCGCTCACAGCAGCCCGCTGCGCCCAGGCGTAAAGAGCCACTTACTGTCGCTTTCTTCTTGCGCCGATGCGTTGGTGGCGTCCACGCAGGCCTGGAGGTCGTTCCAGCTCAAGAACTCAGCCCCTGATTCCCCAGCCTGGCACTTCAGTTTCAACAAGTCCTCAAAATAGCTGAAAGTCAAAGACAGAGCAGCTGCTTAGCCTGAGACAGAAAGGTCCTGCTTGCGAGGGGCTGCAGTCGCCTTGTTTGCCAAATGGGGAAACTGAGGCACGGAGCCACGACAGCCACGCAGAGGGAAAGTAAAAGAGCTACGGGTGGAATCCAGGAGTCCCAACTGCCACACCCAAATTCAACGCTAACCTTAACAGAAGGCCAACGTGGGTTCTCTCCTGCAACCATAGATCTCTCGGAAAGCCGGGTCCAATTGACTCTGAGGCTGGCTACACAGCCAGCCCCAGACGACACTCGCTAACAGAACTGGGTTATCAACAGTTTAACCCTTCAGCTTCTTGATGCCGGCAGGTCCTTTGTTTTGTTTCACGGCCTCTGAAATCACCCTGCTCAGCTCCACCCGCCGCTCCCCCCCCCGGATCTGTCATTTTGAAAATGCCACAAGACCTTTTGAGTCAATCACGGCCAAGTCCCTCAGCTTGAATCGGGACACGGGGCGCCTTTCCCTCCAATTACCGCTGCGCGTTTGCATCCTCAAGGCTGGACAGGCCCAGGGCAGGGCTGACCAGGCTACTCCAGACTCCATAGACATCCCCAGCTTCCAGCGCCCGGTTGATCAGCGCCACGGCTGACAGCATCTCCACGGCAACGTACAGCTCCTCCTGCATCAACTCACCCTGCAGGAAGCAGGAGAACAAGGATCCTGCTCTGTCCCCAGCCACCAGCCCCACAGTACCCGACATGAATCGGTTTACAGTGGGGGAAACTGAGGCACGGAGAGACTTGCCCCAGGCCCTCTGCGACAGAGGAAGAGATTGACTCCAGATCACCCGTCCAGAGTTTTAATCACTAGGCCGATCGCCCACCCTGCCAAGCCAAGAGTCGTATGAAGAGGTCAGATGCCCTACGAGCCATCAGGATGCCCCAGCGACATGAGCAGCAGGTCATGAAGGCAAGGGCAGGTGCTACCTTTCCAAAAAGACAGGGGTGGTGGCTTTGCCATGTCCCGGCCGGCCGGGAAAGCTGGGACTGCGGTGGGGCTGCCCAGCTGCTCCTGAATCCCAGAGGAGGCTGCAGTTGCCTGGTGCTCCGGGAGCAGGGGGGTGGGAATTGGGGCCATGTGCCTGGGGAGGAGGAGGGGGAGAGGAGAAGCAGGAGCAAGCCTTGGGTAGAGGCCAGTCGCCATAACACAGCAGGACTGGAGGCCCAGGGCAGGGGCCACAATGGCAGGCAAGTTCTCCAGAGGGCGAGGAAGGGGCGGAGCCGTGGGCAGAAGGGGGCGGAGCCGTGGGCAGAAGGGGGCGGAGCCGTGGGCAGAAGGGGGCGGAGCCGTGGACTTGCCTCCAAGCGAACCATTCGGCCCCGGCCCGTGCCCAGCAAGAACTGCCATCTGGGAAGCACGCGCTTGTGAAACGTGGCCCCCGGGACAGCAGTGAAGACCTGAGCGTCCGTCAGCTGCCACCGCCTCTCCTCACCTGCGGCTGCCGTTGCTGTAGCAGGGACAGCTCCCGTTGGTACAGCGGGGCGGCAAAGGGAAACACCTCGGGCAGCTGGGCCTCGGGGCTCCTCAGTTCTCGCGCCGTCTCCACCGCCGCCCCCCGGCGGATCGAAGCGTTGATGCGGCTCACGGCCCGGCTCACTGCGCACCCGCGGGATGGAGGAGAGAGGGGCAAATTAACAGGGAAAGTGGAACGTGTGGTTCGTCTTGCAGCAGGGCCGGCGGGAGCCCCCCCCAGCAAAATAAATGCTCCAGCTGTCTCGCTGCTTCCCGCCAGTGCCAGTGCCACCCAGCCCGACTGGCCAGCTGGCTTGAGTTCACACGCTGTAGAGCTGCATGTCCAGACGGGAGCCGAGTTCGGGGCACCACTGCCCCCATCCCACCGGGGAAGTCACAGGGACCCAGCACCGAGCTACTGCAGGATCACCCCTCCCCGTTCCTTTCAGTGGGTGTTGGATTTGAGATGGGAAGGCCACCAGCTGGCAGAGATCTGGAGAGGTGGCCTGGCCCAGGCTGCCTGAATTCCACTTACTAGCAACCCAGACGTCACATGTGCCCTGCCGACGTGCGGGTCGCTCTTCTGTCCCACGTGCATTTTGAGCGGCTTGGTGGATGTGGCCGCAGCATCTCAGAGATGCCAGGACTGGTGCCAACAGGCCCCTTCGTCTCTGCCCTACGTCAGCCGCTCAGGGCAGGCGTAACTTGCCCTCCTGG